TTTTTCCAGCCAACTTTTCAGTGACCCAAATTGGGGCGTGGCATTTCGGGCCGCTACCCCGTGGTGACGTGTGGGGGTACCCCGAGGTCCCCCTTTATGTTTTTTTAAGTCCTTAATCCGTTTATGGCGTCTGCTTTATGAAATTCCATAGTTATGGTAGAGTTTTATTAATTGGACCCTTTATGTGCTTAGGTGCGTTTGTTAGCGGCATGTCTGTTCCCCCTAGTTTGTACGGCTATATACTTATATTTGGAAAGATTATGGTAAATGATTTTTGTGCTTATTTAGTGGTCACTATATGCCTACGGGTAAATGATACTTCTATATATGCCTTCGAGTGGGTGTTGTAGGAACCTACGAGCAATTGATACTCACATATGCTATGCCTTCGGGTGGATGTTGTAAGAGCCTACGGACAATTGATACTTATATATGCCTTCGGGTGGGTGTTGTATGAGCCTACGGGCAAATGAAGTGTTCTAAATGAGGAGTTCTATATGCCTTCGTGCGATACTGATACCACTATTTAGCACATTGTTTATGATATATGTTTTATAAAGGTTTTATCGCATGCTAGGGTTTTGGAAAACTTGTTACATATTATACTATTGAGTTTTCATAAACTTTGGTGATTAGTATGTTAATGAATAATTGTTTTAGTATTACTTATATATCAACTTAGTCCACTCATGTTTTGTTATGCGCCCTTTCAGGACATAGGAACGAGGCATACGATCTGAGCTAAGAGGCACTCCCCTTCCATTGATATCATATCACCCACTCTGCTTGGACATCACTTGTAATAGCACTTTCTGTTACACCTTCAGCTTATATTCTGAATTAGATGTATGCTCTGAACTTGTCATGCATTATCACTATGTTTTTATTGATGACTAAATATTATTATATTATTTTGGGAAGGTTTGTATATGAATATTACATTGTGTAGTTCGCACGAAATTTATATGCATGTTTTACATGTTCGCTGCATATGCATTCATTAAATAGCTTGTGTCACCCTTGGGTGTCAACCAACACGTGGCCATCCCGCTGTCCCTCGGACATCGGGATCGGGGCATGTCACCAGACCTTTATTAGAGATGCGTTTTGTGTAAAAATGGCTATCTTTTGATTTATGGCCCTATGGTTAGCCTGGTTAGAGATAGTGTAAGAGCAACTCCACCCCTAAAAAAATGCGCCAACACCCAGCCCATTTAATCCAATCAGTGAACAGTGATAGACCCAATGAACAGTAATTGGCAAAATGCATCTCCACCCCTAAAAAATGCACTGGCACAAACGATCTCCAACTCTACAAAATGCGCTTGCACCCAGCCCATTTAAAATATTAATAATTTTTTTTATAAAATAATATAAAAAAATGTTAGTTTTAATTTTGGATAGGATTTTTAACCAATTTTGTCACACCACGTGTCATTATCAGAAAGTACTATTTTGTGGATAGATGTCCGATAAGATTTTCAACCAATTCCAACGCGCCACATGTCACTATATGTTTACAATAATTTAGCCAAGATTTCGACCAAATTTTCAACCAATGTTGTCATGCCACGTGTCATTATCCGAACGTACTATTTTATGAATAAATTTCTAATAAGATTTTCAATCAATCCCGACACGCCACATGTCACTATTTGTTTACAATAATTTAGCCAAGATTTCTATCAGATTTTCAACCAATCACATAATGCCATGTGGCATTGTCCAGAACCTCATCCTTTTTTTTTGTCCATATAAACCCTACATCCATCCTCATTCATACACCAAATTGAATCCTTCTTTTTTAGCTCAGAATCCTTCTTCATCGTTTTTAAATCTTGAGTTATTACAATGTCTTCTTCAAGGAGATTGTATGAAATTGATGAGCACCAGAAAAAATTGTTGGCACAACAAGAAGAATTGTTTAATGTGGAGGAAGGTGGAGATGAGGCTTTCGCAATGGAAGAGGATGAGGATGATGAACATAGAAGGCAGAGGGTCTCACATTCCCGTCGTGTCATGCAAGCTGTGGGTCAGATAGCCAAATCCAGACGTGCCGCAAACTTCGATAGAAAGAGGGAAAGACAAGGTAAAGATCTCTTGGAAGATTATTTTATCCCCAACAGTGTATTCCTTGATCATATTTTTAGATGTCGGCTTTAGAATGCAACGAAGCTTGTTCGACAAAATCATGAGTGCTATTTGCAACCATGATCCATACTTTGTGCAAAAAAAAAGGACGTTTTTCATGTTCTAGGTCTTCTTCATGAACAAAAAAATACGGTTACCTTGCGGATGCTTGCATATGGAGCATATGCAGATCAAGTGGATGAAATAGTGAAGATGGGAAAATCAATTGTTTTGGAATCCTTGATATGGTTTTGCTCCGCAATTGAAGCCTTATACACCAATGAGTACCTCCGGAAACCCACACCAAGGGACATGCAAAGGCTTTTGAATAAGGGTGAGATGCGAGGCTTTCCTGGCATGATTGGAAGCATCGACTGCATGCACTGGACCTGGAAAAACTGTCCAACTGCATGGCAAAGAGCTTATGGCGATAGAAAATGAGCCAAAAGTATCATTTTGTAAGCGGTGGCTTCATTTGATACATGGAGTTGGCAAGCTTTTTTGGGTATTCCAGGGGCTCAAAATGACCTCAATGTCCTGGCCCAATCTCCAATGGTGGAAGAATAAAGTTATTAGTTTATTTGGTGTGTTTTTTTTTAAAGTTTATTTGGTGAGTTTATGTAATTTTATTTCGTGTGTTTTTTTTTTAAGTTTATTTGGTGAGTTTATGTAATTTTATTTGGTACTAAAAATAAATAAGAAATTACATCTAGTACTAAAAATAAATAAGAAATTCATAAAGTACTAAAAATAAATAAGAAATTACATAAAGTACTAGAAATAAATAAGAAATTATACAAAGTCTGAGGAGCTAGGATATGTGGTGCTAGGGTCTTTGTTGCTAGGATATGTGTAGCTAGAATCTCGTTGACTTGTTTCCTCGTCTCTTGCACGCCTCCTTTGAACCACGTCTTTTTTTGTGATGTCCAAAAATATTTAGAATTTGGAGACATTCCTTCTAGAGGCTTGTTCGTAGTTTCACGATCTACTTGAGCCATCCTTTCTTATCTAAGAAGTTGGCTTTCTCGATGAAGTATTTCTCTTTGTCTCTCATTAGCCGCATCACGTCTCTTAGTAGCTGCTAAGATTGCTTCCATAGCCACAACTTTTGCCTCATCTCTAGTCGCTTCCTGTGCCATGTTCAGTTCACCTTGGCATGCAAGTTCGCCCATATATTTTGTTTAGTCATTTTTGGAAGAACTCATTTTTTCTTTGCAGCCTTTTTACCTTGAGGCTTTAGGGACCGACGAATCGGCTGTCTCGGACACTTCTTTAGGTGTTCCTTCTGTCTCTTTAAATGTTTCGCCTTCTTGTTCCGCCAGGTCTGCTTTTGGTGAATTGTGTAGAAGGACGATGTGCATGACAACTTCTGGACTGGTTGGCACAATTTTGTATCTGGGACAATCTTTGACAATTTCCCAACATTCCTATTTGTTGAATGATTTCTTGTGGTTCTTCGCATTGTAGAATGCTTGTGCTTGTAGTGTCTATAAAATGTGGGATAAGACAATATTATAAATGCGGGTGTAACACAAATAAATAAATTAAAATATTGATGCGAGTGGAATACATATAAATAAATAAAAATATTGTCACCTGATCCACTAAACTTGTTCCATTATGCAAATTACTGGAAGCACAAGAGAGAGCGTTTTTCCAACAAGTAAGGGATATGTTGAGTTTTTTCCAACGACCTTGACTACTTCTTGTGCGATCTCCAAGCCTCGCGCAAAACTCTTCCCTAATTCTACTCCACATTTCTCGCAACTCCATCTCATTCGTCATGAGTAATGTGAACCCAACATTGACACAAAGTAACATCTTCGATGAGCTTCCACGTAGCCATTTTTTTCCACAAAAAAAATATATGAAAGGTTTGGTTGAATTGAAAGTGTTGAAAATATTGAAATGTGGTGTAAGGTGGAACATGTTGGTTAGGTATTTATATAAAAAAATAATAATTTTTTTAAAATTTTTTTTTCTTTATTTTAAAACAATTTTTAATAATTTTTTTATTAATTTAATTAATCTGGACCATAAGATTTTAAAAAGATTCAAATCCAATAGCTCAGATGTGGACACGTGGCCAATGGTCATAATTCTGATTGTTTCGTTTTTTTTTTCGGACAAAATCGTGGACTGTAGCCATGTCAACTAGCCGTTGGGTTCAAATTTCAATTTTTTTTACTGTTGGAAATCCAACCGTCTAGAAAACTAGCTATTGGAAATCCAATGGCCCACAACGAGCCATGTGGCTACTCACGGGTTGAAATTGGCGCGCTGCAGCGATGGGTTGAGTGCTAGCCTAACGTCACATAGCTCATCCCTTGGCTTAGCACATTCTGGGCCGACCTAGAGGCTAGCTTGGGTTGAGTGCCAGCCTATTAGGCTGGGCTGGAGCAAAAAAATGGGAGGTTGGCCTATTTTATGTGCTTTGAGCTAGCCTACCCCAATGGGGAGGAGCTGCTCTAAGGAGATAAATGAATGGGCTAAACAACCTCATAATTAACTAATAATAATGTAATTTAAATTTGTATTTGGCAAAAATTGAATCTAAACTAAATAGAAACATATATAAACATTGCAAAGGCGGCAGCACTCTCCTTCCAAAACCGCCACGTTAGTCCCCAAACAACAAACAAATCCCCAAAATGATCGGTGAGGGGAATACACGCGCAGGCCTGCGGATCCCCAAACTTTCACCAATGACCCGCGAGTACAAGACATTATGATACTCCCGAGAGTAGTACAAATTCGAATCCAACCAACGACCGCTTTGCGCTTTTAAATTTTTCGAACGCGTGCCTCTGTCGCTCGCTTAACGGCGTCGTTCCCTAGATCTACTCCACCCCCCCCCCTAATCGCTCGCTCGCTCGCTCTCTCTCTCTCTCACCCCTGTCCTTCTTAGTTTTTTCCTTCGCATCGAAAGTTCGGGAGACTTGACTGAGTCGGGGCCCCAAAAGTCTCGCGCGTCTCTGCCGCGGCGTCGCTTCGGTCTCTCCTCGTACAGACATCCGACATGGCTTTCGTTTCGTTCGTTGGACGCCTTCTTTTCGCCTCTGTCTTCCTCCTCTCTGCTTGGCATGAGTAAGCCCCAGATCTCTGTCTTCTCTCTCGGTCTTTTAAATAAAAATAAATAAAGTTTAAAATATGCAAAATCTGATATATAATTTTAGTTCATCAAACATGCATGCATGGATTTTATTAATTTTTTTTATGTAATCTGTTATTTGTAATTATTTATTTGTTTCGTGGATCCTTTTTTTATTTTTGGTGATGCATTCGTAGTTAGATCCAAATTAATTGAACAAGATGAGTTGTAAAATGATATGATTTAAACATATTTCAATTATTTGGTATGTAGATTAGTAATTACGATAGCCTGTTACGTTGTCAGATTGATCTAAAACGAATGCTCGTTATGAGTTCACATCATTCATTTGTATGAGGCTTGATCTTGACGAGACAGTGCATAAGCTTACAGTTGGTTTCTATGTATAGGTTCAATGAATTTGGCGTGGACGGAGGACCCGCAGCCGAATATCTGAGACCAAAATTCGATGTTTTCTCATTTCATCTGTCAACTCACACTGGTGCGCAAGTGCCCAACCAAGTTGAAGTAAGAAATTAATTTGGTTTAATACTTGAGTTTTAGTTTCTTTTAATGTTTTGATCAAAGTACGTTTTCAGTTGGTGCCTGAGTTACTTTTGTACTTTGTGATCGGCAGATCAAACATTTAGTGGCGGCGACGGTGGCATTGAAGGGTATTGGGGGTCTTCTCTTCATCTTTGGTTCTTCTATTGGAGCCTATTTGCTGGTTTGTAACTGTGATTTGGTTGTCTGAGACGCTGGGCTCGATCTTATTTTGTACCCGTAGAGCAATATTAGCCGCTAAAACATGTGTTTCGTTATATTTTTGTGCAGCTTCTGCATCAGGCCATTGCTACTCCTATCTTGTATGACTTCTACAACTATGATCCCGAGAAGACAGAATTCATTCAACTCTTTTTTAGCTTCACTCAGGTTAGTGATCAAGTTTTCTTATTTTCCCTCGTACACTTTCAGTATGTGTTTTCGTCCCTAGTTAATGTTGATTCCTATAATTTAGAACTCAACAAGGTTATCATTTTAATTTCTTAACATGTTGAAATGGTCCAAATTAGATATTTTGTCCATTTTGTACATACCATGTATGAGTTACTCAACAACGAGGTCCAACCATAAGACCAAAAGTGCGGCCGGTGAAAAACTATAGGGATGAAATTGTATTTTACTGGTAAATGGATGGCTCCCGGATGTTCTATGCTAATGAGGAGATGACTGATCTGGAAAAACTCGATATGGTTAAAATGGTACTTTTGTTAAGTGTTGAACTATAGGAATCAAGGTGAATATGATAAAATAGCATGGTGGAAAATTAATTTTGCTCATTTTTGGTCCTACTATTGATATTTCACTGTGGGTAATTTTTTTAATGGAAAACTAATGAAAAGGGTTTGAAAACTTTGAGTTTTAACGATAACGACAAAATCAAGGGTAAAGTGAATAGTATCAGGATTGACTTTTTAATGTAAAAATGTGGTTTTTCGTTAAAGTGAACAATACAGGGAACTTTTCGTTAAAGTTCCCTTTTTTTAATGACGGTTTGATTATTCACCTAAGAATGAGGTTACCATATTGTGACTTGGACCCTCCCTTAGCTTAGAAGCTGCTTGCACAAGGTTGCCCCTTTTTTATTAACACTATGGACCCAAAGGTCAATTTGTTTAGGCATGCTATCAAAGCTGAACAAAGAAAAACTGCTAACTCATTGTTGCTGATTGACTTTGTATGATTTGCAGAACTTGGCATTATTCGGGGCTCTGCTCTTTTTCGTAGGCATGAAGACATCGATACCAAAGAGACAACAATTCAGGAAAAGAGCTCCAAAACCAAAAACTACATGAGGATTAAGGACGGAGCCTTATTACACGTGGGTTTAGTTTCTGATTTCACCTGACTGTTCCTTGAGGAAACTAGTTATGTATGCTGGTATCTCTGTCTGTATTTCGGTCTCTCTTTTCAGAAATTAGGGAAACAAGATTTTCGGAAAGTAGGAGCTTTTGTTTATTTTGAGGGGTTTTTGTTTTGTTCTTGGTATTACTGAGCCAGTTTGTTGTCGACGGTTGGAAGGTAAGTACATTATTTTTTGGTATTTATTCTAAGGAGCAACTTTTCTATTTTTCGATATGAGATCTTTAATTAGTCACTATGCTCCTTGTCATTACCGTCAACCGGTGTATGTGATGATTTTTGAATGGTTAGATTGGCTGGAATAGGGTTATAATAGCGGTTGGATATTAAAATTTTTCAACCATTTATGTTATGACACTTAGTGTATCCGTCAATGTTCTTGGAACATTGAAAAATTTCTCATTAGATTGAAATGTTTACATTAAACACGCAAATGCAACCATCTGCTGAAGCTAAGTATTGCATTCCTCTCTCAAGTATTTTTAGTGATAGGTATGTTATGGAATTAGGAGAGCAATTTGCATGGTATGAGTTTATCAGTGGTACATACTTTTTAGTCTAACAATACAATGTTAGAGAGAAACTTATACATGTTAGTATATCATTAGACCAAAATGTTACGATAGAGGTAAATCTGTTCCATGTACGTTGGAATCTGGGAGACTACATCTACAATGACTTTAAAGAGTCTGACACAGTAGCAACCGCCCCACAACCCCGCCATTACAATTGCGGCCAGGGGGAGGCAGTATAATTCATTGCCTTTGTCCATGCCGTCGTTCAACAGATCATGGCTTCTTTCAACTACCGCATTTAACAATGTGGCTTTTATGAGTTAGATTAGAGTAACTTACAACTTGGGTTGGGTTTAGTTTGTCTTTGTACCTGGATACAAGCTTATGGTAAGGGCCCAGGAGTAGATTGGTGGCCCATGGTCAACTCTACTAGACCCTATTGTATCAGTTCTTGTCTTGATCATATATTTATGAAATTCTCCAAATCGTTTTGAGTTAACAAGTTTCAATATGCTGAGTTTCGTGAAAGTTGAGAAGTTGAATGGCAATAACTTCAAAGCATGGAAGCAGCAGATTGAAATGAACATTGGAATGTTGGAATTCAACATAGTATTCAAGGTTCACTTAACCTTCAGCATTAACTAATGAGAGTATTGCACAAAAAAAGAGAGAATTTTGTGAAATAGGATATAGAGCCAATCAAATGTCTCTAATCATAATGCAGAATTCAACGGAGGAAGACAAAAGAGGAGAAATTCCTTGTTGTGACTTGGCTAAGAATTATATGGACAAGAATCAAGATTGAAGAGAAGTTTAAGTAATCGAATAAAGCTGAAATTGGAGCTTGCTTGTCAACATTAATAAACACCGAGCATGATGGTTCTAGTAGCATTCATGAGCACTTATTGAAGTTGGTTAACATTACCAACAAGTTGAATAACTTAGATATTGGCAATTTTGATAAGTTTCTTGTGCATATGTAACTTTACTCACTGTCAAGTGATTATGAGCAATTGAAAGTGAGCTATAATCATGGTTTTAAAAGGCGCTAGGTGCAAGTTGGGCGGTGAGTTGGGGTCTAACGCCTAGGCGGACTAGACGGACTTAGGAAAATTTGTTATATATTATATGAATTAGTTAAATTTACTAGACGGATTTAGGTAAATTTATTATATATTATATGAATTAATTAAATTTACTATATCATATATAAATAATTATTGAATAATTTGTTATTTCTTAAAAAAGAACATACATATGAGTGTTTTATGTACATATGTAATATGCTTGCCTAAGAAAAAAAAACAAAACATTATCCAAATAATTTATATAACATTTATATATATATATATATATATATATATAATATATTCCAAACTTTTCAAAATATAAAAAGCCCACGTACCGGGTGGTTTTCATAATTAATACCACTCAATAACCCTTCAAGTGGTACTTGTCCACCCCACCTCTCTCACATCACCCAAAGTGGACCTTAGTCATCACCACATTTTGATCTTGGAAAGTGAGATGTCGTTTGTATTAATTTATTCGTTTAGATAATATCATTTGTTAAAAAAAAGAATATGTCCAATACACATATAGACCTTATCTTTTCATAGAAAAATAAAGAGATCTACTTAAAGCATTCAGGCTGTTAAGTTATGTCATATCAGTTAATTATATTTAATTATAATATAAGCACATTATGCTTGGAAGTGTCCCGATTTGACGCAAGTTTCTATATTCGTTAATGCCTTGATAGTCAATAGATGTATGGTGAGCATACACTAAGATTTAGGATGGTGAACAAAAATGTTCTCTTTAAATATTGACATGCCCGACCCTGATATTCCCCGAACACCAAAGTAGGCACGTACTGGCCGACACCCGAAGGTGACGAAGTCATATTAGGATGCATGAGAAATAATAAATATAAACAATACTTATAAATTTAAATACAATTAATATACAAATGAGGAACGTGTTCAGAGTATACAACTAATTCTATACACTAAAGAAGAAATAATACAAAATTGAATGAACAAAAGGAGTAGGTCTTACACCAAGAGGACTCGATGATGTCGATGCGAGAGTGCCTTGACGCCGGGATTGTACGCCTTAATTCTAAGTCCTCAGAGAGCGCAAAACACACATGAGTGGACCAAATTGATATATATATATATATATATATATAGGGTAAATTACATAGAAACCCCTCAGGTTTGAGGTCTATTACAACCTCATACAACATCTTTAAAACATTTCACTTTCATACCTCAAGTACTATTTTATTTCAAAATAATACCTCCGTTACATTTTCCATCCATTGATCCGTTAAGTGCTGACGTGGCTGCCAAATGTGTGCCACGTGGCAAAAAAAATTAATTTTTTAATTTTTTTTTGAAAAATCTGAATCTTCTAAATAAAAATAAAATAAAATTAAAAAAAAACCAAAACTTAGAAAACGCAAAACCACCCCCGTAACCTCTACCTACCCCTCCTCTCCCTTCCAACCACCTCCCTTTCCTCCACTCTCTTCACCTCCCCTCCCATCAAAAAACCCACCCCACCCCCACTTTCCCTGAGCCCTTTCTCCTCTTCATCCCTTCCCCCTTTCTCCCTTCTCTCATCTGTAACCTCACCCACAACATTCCAACATATTCAAATCATGAAATTGAACAACAATTTTCTCAATTCATACACAAAAACCAAGAGTTTGGCCTTAGGGACAACAACCACCATTCCTTGAAGCTCTGGAGTGAGGACGACCTGACATCCCAGCCTTGAGAACCCTAGCCTTAGAGTTCCTCTTCAGCACGTACTCCTCGTCGTACGACCGCGGAGGGAGGTGGCTCGACGGTGGGAGCTTGTCGCCGGGGGCAGGGTTCGCGAGAGCTTGTCGTCGCTGGGAGGGGGGGGCGAGTCGTCGGAGCTTATCATCGCAGGGGGGAGGGGGAGTCGCATAAGCTTGTAGTCGTGGCGGGGGTGGGGGGCGAGGGGCGGAGGGGGCGACGGGAAGGGCCTCTGCGAGGTGGGGTGAGGTGGGTCGTCTGGGAGATGGGGTGTGTAAGTTTCTGGGTTTTTGTGTGTGGGGGGAGGGGAAGGGGATGTTCAGTTTTTGCTTTTGCTTTTGTTTGTTTGTTTGTTTGTTTTTGTTTTTTTTAAGAAGATTCAGGTTTAAAAAAATATTATTTTTGCCACGTGGCATACATTTGGCAGCCACGTGACACAAATGTGAGAGTCACGTCAGCACTTAAAGGATCAATGGATGAAAAATGTAACGGAGGTGTTTATACCATACTTAAGGGCATCCGTATTTAGATCTCGTACAAATACTCGGGGGACTTAAATGTAATTATGTAATAAAGGAAGGAGCAAATATGTAATAAGTGAGGAGCCTTTATTCTATAAAAGGACTCCTCACCCTCATAATTGTAGGAGGCCAATTCCTAGGCCCTCTCACCCTCAGAAGCTCTCTCATCCTCAATACTCTCAGAAATACAATAATCAGTGTGGACGTAGCCCAAACCTTGGGGTGAACCACGATACATCTTGTGTTATTTACATTTCTTGCATATTCACGGTCGGATTTACATTGTTCCAAGACCTCCGGTTTTGTGCACCAACATTTGGCGCCGTCTGTGGGAAACGACTCGAAAAACTATGTCGGTTCTCTTTCATTTTTTCATCTCACCACCATGAATCTGCAAAAACCCAAGAACCCAGAAAACCTCACTCTTTGGGCTTTTCCAAGAAACCTTCGCAGAAACTGTGCAATTTAAAAAAAAAAAAACCGTCCAAAAACCCATTTTTTCTCTCTCTCTCTATTCATTTCTAGAAGATCTGCAACTCACAAATCTGTCTACACAAAAACTATGCGTTTTGCTGCTTCCTGGGAAAAGAAGCCATGAGCGACCTAATTGAGCCTGCAACGACATCGTCTTCGGCCAAGGATCCGGCCCTCCTGATTCACCCGCGCCGTGAGTCGTTCAAGCTCGGGCTACTGCCCATCCCCAAGCCCATCTTCACCGACCCGACCTCTGCTCAAGCAGAAGCTGATCGTAGAGTCGCCGAGTCACCTAGTCGACTCGTCCACGATCTCCGAGGCAGCTCAGATTGCAAGGCATCCAAGGGTAGTCTTATTATTCTTGAACCAGCGAAGAAAATTACACACAACTCGATCGTGGGATTTCTTGGGACTTGAGCAAGAGGGTGTTGTTCCACCCAATTCAATCTGGAAGAAGGCAAGATATGGTGAAGATTCGATCATAAGAAACCTTGATACTGGAGCATGGCCAGAATCTAAGAGCTTTAGTGATGAGGGGTATGGACCGATTCCATCCAAGTGGAAATGAATCTGTCAAAATCAGACATATCCAAAATTTCACTACAACAGTTAAACAAGATATGCTCGTTGTTAATGCATATTCGAGTTCCCTTTGCTTCTCTCGCGGGTCGCCGGAGCGGACGTTGGCGGCTGACAAGGTCAGAGGCTCGCAACAGAGGGAAGTTCGTCAACAAGGTCAGAGGCTCAGGATTCCCAGAGATCAGTCTCGACGAAAGAAAGTGGGTGAAGAAAATGGAGACGACGGGGCAAGTCGCCGGCGTATGATCGCCACATCTTGATGGTAGTAAACGCCACAGCGGCGAGCCTATCGTTCGTTGGGTCGGGGTTCATCGTCCTCTGCTATGTCCTTTTCAAAGAGCTCCGCAAGTTCTCCTTCAAGCTCGTCTTCTACCTCGCGCTCCACATCGCCTTGGAAACTGATCCACGGAAAAGAAAAGAAAAAGTAAAGCAAGTCTGCAAAAGCAAAAAAAAGTCTGCCAGAGAGGGTGGAGGTGGAGAGACAGAGACGCAATGGAGGAAAAGAAGAAAAACAAAAGATCTTCCTATTATTATGATTCCTTCTGTCTGCTAGGTGAAGAGACAGAGAGAGTGCAGTGGAAAACAAAAAACAAAAGCAGAAAAGAAAAAGTAAAAGAGAAAGCAAAAGCAAGGAATAAACACCCTACCAGAATGATATGATTTACTTTCCTTGTTTTTGTATGATGTGATTTATTTTTCTTATCTTTCGGAGACATCTGTATAAACCTCATGTGAGGGTAATAAAAAAAATGGCAAAGCCCAAAATAAATGGGTTGGAATGTTGTGTGGAGGGCGAAGGCCCATGAGCCCAAAATAGCACCAACCAGGTGACCAAAAGTACTCCCAGTACTATAAAAAATTATTCGGCACCCTGCCGCTATTATCACCAACTAGGTGACCAAAAGTACGCCCAGTACTACAAAAAATTATTCGGCACCTCGCCGCTATTATCGCCAACCAAGTGATCAAAAGTACGCCTAGTACTTCAAATTATACATGAGCATTAACATTCATGAGCATTACTCATGTTAATCATACATAAACATTCATGAGCATTACTCATATCAATCATACATAAACATTCATGAGCATCACTTATGTTAACATTCATGAGCATCACTCATGTCAACATCCATGAGCATCACTCATGTCAATCAACATAAACATTCATGAGCATCACTCATGTCAATCAGCTTCAAAAGCTTCATTTACAAAAGCTCTAGCTTCAAAAGCTTCATTTACAGAGCTCTAGCTTCAAAAGCTTCATTTACAAAAGCTCTAGCTTCAAAAACTTCATTTACAGAGCTCCAGCTTCAAAGCTTCACTTGCAAAGCTTCACCTACAAAGCTTCAGTGCAGGGTATACAAATACCGCCTCCGAACAACCGCCATTTCGGCCCATACATGGATTCAATTTGAAATCTCCAGCCAACAGACTCTATTGACCGAAGACTTGGGGGACTACTACACTATATGCCATATATTGAGCCTCAACTGGGCCTCATGAAAAATACTTGGGGGACTTAGCCCATTATTTATGTATTGAGGAGCGAGCCCTTATTCTATAAAATGGACTCCCTCACTTTCAGTAGAGATCACCCATTATTCATGTACTAAGGAGCGAACCCTTATTTTATAAAAGGGACTCCCTCACTTTCATTAGAGAGCAACGCCGCCAGCTGAGCAAACCGCATCGCCGCGAGCATCACTTATAACCCATCACTTATGTACTGAGGAGCGAGCCCTTATTCTATAAAAGGGACTCCCTCACCACCATTAGAGAGCATCGTCGCTTACTAAGCAACCGCCTCGCTGCGAGCATCAACTCTAGCCCATCATTCATGTATTGAGGAGCGAGCCCTCATCTAGTTACTTCGGTCCACACATGGACTGAATTTCAAGTTTCTAGCCAAAAGACTTTATTGACTGAAGACTTGGGGGACTACTATTTATACCATACTTAAGGGCCTCCGTATTTAGATCTCGTACAAATACTCGGAGGACTTAAATGTAATTATGTAATAAAGGAAGGGGCAACTATGTAATAAGTAAGGAGCCCTTATTTTATAAAAGGACTCCTCACCCTCACAATTGGAGGAGGCCAATTCCTAGGCCTTCTCACCCTCAGAAGCTCTCTCATCCTAAATACTCTCAGAAATACAATAATCAGTGTGGACGTAGCCCAAACCTTGGGGTGAACCACGATACATCTTGTGTTATTTACATTTCTTGCAGATTCACGGTCGGATTTACGTTGTTCCAAGACCTCCGGTTTTGTGCATCAACTGGAGGTATTATTTTGAAATAAAATAGTACTTGAGGTATGAAAGTGAAATGTTTTAAAAATGTTGTATGAGGTTGTAATAGACCTCAAACCTGAGGGGTTACTATGTAATTTACCTATATATAAAATACTGAAACAGTTATCAACATACTAACCCCCAAAGTTTAATGAACACTCATAGCATAATATGTAATAGGTTTCCAAAACCCTAACATGCCATAAAACCTTTCATGAAACATATCTCATATATATAGTGTGCTAACTAGTGATATCAGTATTAGTATTTCTCGGCCCGAAGCCATTAACATATGTCTCCGCCAGCCATATATCTCCCTCAGCCATATATCTCCCTCGCCCGTAGGCAGAACAACGACCAATAGATACACACAAAATCATTGAACATAGATTTTCCAAACATAGGTACATATATCTCGAAACATCTTTATAACATATAGTCATCCATCATATATACTATAAAGAAGTGTGTAAAAGCATTTTCATAAATAGTATATAGTCATCCATCGTATATACTACAAAGAACATCAGTTCGATAAAATATGATATTCCAAAATATTCTCAGTAAGCATAATATCTCATAAAATGTAATCATTAAATCATACTTTTCATGTAGCATTTCTACTATTAAAACATGCATTTTAGAAAGGGTCCACTCACGGATACTTCGCCGCCGAGGAGCCATGCAAACTAGCGAAGATGAAAATGTCCCAAATAATTGCCCCTAAGCACATAAAGAGTCCAATTAATAAAACTAGTCATACAAAATACCAAAATGAAGCCCAAGGGAAGAGGAACATATCTATACCTATCACGGGGCTAGTCGTGGCTGGAGTCAGCTGAAAAACAGCCTGCAAGCCGTCGGGTCTTCATCGGAAACTAGGGAAGGTTTCCCCAACTTGTTTCCACGTCCAAAAGCCACCAAAATTACTCAAAAACATCCCAAGCTCACACTAAAACACGATCTACTAGGTTTTAAAGGGTTTTGTAACATTATCTTCACTAGAATCAATGAGGTCTTCGTTGGGAAAACCGTAGCTCCTCGACGGAGCTCCTTGGCTCGACGCAGTAGCTGGGTTCGACATGGGGTGGGTCTGGTGGGGTGGTGAGGTCGCCGTGTTGTGTGAGTGTGCATGAGTGTGTGTGTGTGTGTGTGTGTGTGGGAGCTCGGGGAGGGGAGAGCACAGAGAGAGGGAGCACGGGGAAGATGAGAAAAGAGAGAAAAGTGAGGGAGAGGAGGAGAGAGAGAATTGGGACCCGGGGACAAAACCAAAACAAATGGCCCCATGGGCACACACAATAAGACCCAAAAACAATTTTTAAAATAAAAAATATCCCAAACTTAGTGAAATTACAACAATACCCCTTCGTTCCGTAAATTCCAGGACGAGTTGTTACAAATATAGTTTTTCACATTGCAATTCAGCGTAATATGCTGCTTATAAATAAATAAAACGCAAAACCCCAGTATATTTCGTATCGAAAAAAAATCCCACGTATATTTTGGGTCAAAGGTATTAGGTATTGAACTATTTAAACGATGCCTAATTAACATGTGATTAATGATGAGATTATTTTAATATATTGTAAGTCTTTGGAAAATGATTGATCTTGATTTCCCACCAAGTCCAAATAATTTTAGCATTATCTTTTGGTCTATTCTTCCAACTTGAACAACTACAAAGTGATCATATTCTCTGGTTACTAATACACATCAATACACTAGGTATTTGTGTGAATAATATCTAGACACAAACAAAGATGGTAGCGACCAACACAAATTACGACCGAAAAAGTGAAGTAAAAGCTTTTGATGACACAAAAGAAGGAGTTAAAGGCCTCGTTGATGCGGGCATAACGGAAGTTCCTCGAATTTTTCATCACCCGCTAGAGGAGTCGGAAACCAGCTCCGATTCAGAAGCCAGCCAGTTTAGCATAGCGGTCATAGATCTTCAAGGCCTTGAACTCGGTAGTCTAACTAAGCGCAAGGAGATCGTTGCAAAAGTCGCAGAGGCATCGAAGACTTGGGGCTTTTTTCAGATGGTAGCGACCAACACAAATTACGACCGAAAAAGTGAAGTAAAAGCTTTTGATGACACAAAAGAAGGAGTTAAAGGCCTCGTTGATGCGGGCATAACGGAAGTTCCTCGAATTTTTCATCACCTGCTAGAGGAGTCGGAAACCAGCTCCGATTCAGAAGCCAGCCAGTTTAGCATAGCGGTCATAGATCTTCAAGGCCTTGAACTCGGTAGTCTAACTAAGCGCAAGGAGATTGTTGCAAAAGTCGCAGAGGCATCGGAGACTTGGGGCTTTTTTCAGATTGCAAATCATGGAATACCGGTAGATGTTTTGGAGGAGATGAAAAATGGGGCACGTGGGTTTTTTGAGCAAGACACTCAAGTGAAGAAGGAGCTTTATACTCGTGAACACTCCAGACCTTTGGTCTACAATAGCAATTTTGATCTGTATAGTGCACCGGCTACTAGTTGGAGGGATAGTTTTGGGTGTTACATGGCTCCTAATCCTCCTAAGCCGGAAGAATTGCCAGAAGTATGCAGGTATATATGCGACATGCATGATAATTTATAATTCTTTGCTACAATGGTAACTAGTTTGATTTAGAATTTATTCATATCCTAGATGAGATTCGATCATGTATTGACTTTTGGTTGTTAATTTCTACACTTTGATGTAGGAATTGAATCATTTTGTAAAATCTTAAAATTTTGCTTTTTCATTAACAACTTTCGTCCATGAGATTTGAACTTAGGGCCTCCAACAAAGTGGAGAGTCTGGAGACTGAATGTAAATTAAACAAATGGTCATATGTAAGAAAAGAAATACAGTTAAAATCACGACACACAAGTCACACATGCTAACCATTTTACTTAAATCTCTGTCAAATAATTTTTATATGCAGAGACATACTGGTTGAATATTCGAAGCAAGTAATGAAGTTGGGGAAGTTGCTGTTGCAGTTGTTGTCGGAGGCTCTTGGCCTAAAGCCAAGTCACTTAAATGACATAGATTGTAGTGAGGGGCTTGTGCTTCTAAGCCATTACTATCCTGCTTGTCCACAGCCGGAATTGACTCTGGGAACCACCAAGCACGGTGACTTCAGCTTCCTCACGATACTTCTACAAGATCATATTGGTGGTCTCCAAGTTCTTCCTCAGAACAAGTGGATTAATGTTCCTCCTGTGCCCGGAGCTCTTGTGGTTAATATTGGAGATCTTCTGCAGGCAAGTATCATATTATTAGGAAATACTTAAGCCGACATATTTATGCTCTTAATTTAGGTTCTAAAAGTGAATTATTGTGAGGTTTCAGCTAATATCAAATGACAGATTCAAGAGCGTACAACATAGGGTACTGGCAAACCGTGTAGGTCCAAGAGTATCCATTGCAAGCCTCTTTTACACCGGCATGTTACCGTCAACAAAACTCTATGGACCGATCAAGGAGCTATTATCAGAAGACAATCCTCCAAAGTATAGGGAGACTACTGTAAGGGACTACGTTCTTTACGTCCATAACAAAGGCCTTGATGGCTCATCTGCCTTGTCTCAGTTCAAGCTTTGAGCTGCTGCTATGAAGAGCGGTACTAAATTATATTATTACCTGTATAGTGTGTAACATTACTCTTTTGGCATACATATATATTGGTTGTTTTGATTGTAATACTTTAGGCTGATCGATCAGTACAGAGAAATGTAATTAATTAAGTGGTTGATTACTGAGTTGTATATCAATGACAGCTGTAATGGTTATTGAACCATAGTGCAGCCAGATTAAGTTTTCCACCTACGAACCAACTTGAAGAATTGAATTGAAGTTATTAGGAACAAAGTTTGACCATTGGGTCAATTTGTTTAGGCATGCTATCAAAGCTGAAGCAAAGAAAACTGCCAAGTCATTGTTACTGATTTACTTGGTATGATTTGCAGAACTTGGCATTATTCGGAACTCTGCTCTTTTTCGTAGGCATGAAGACATCGATACCAAAGAGACAACAGCTCAGGAAAAGAGCTCCAAAACCAAAAACTACATGAGGATTAAGGACGGAACCTTATATTACACATGGGTTTAGTTTCTGACTTCACCTGACGGTTCCTCGAGGCAACTAGTTATGTATGCCGGTATCTCTGTCTGTATTCTCGGTTTCTCTTTTCAAAATTAGTGAAACAAGATTAGCGGAAAGAAGGAGCTTTTGTTTATTTTGAGGGGTTACTGTTTTGTTCTTAGTAGGAGGTCGCACTTGATGCGATGGCAAGTGCCTTCGCCCATGAGCGGTAGGTCTCGGGCTCGAGACTTGGGAGCAGCCTCTCCATAAATGAGGGTAAGGCTAGCCGACATTTACCTCTCCCAGACCCTGCGTAAAGCGGGAGCCTTGTGCACTGGGTACGACCTTTTTTACTGTTTTGTTCTTAGTATTACTGAGCCAGTTTGTTAAAAGAAGGTACATTATTTTTTGGTATTTATTCTAAGGAGCAACTTTTCTATTTTTCGATTTGAGATCTTTAATTAGTCACTATACCCTTGTCATTAAGAGTGCGTTTGTTTCACCGGACTAACTCGAATTGGATCAACTTCAGGGACTAAGTTGGATTGGTTTTAGACTAGACTAAGTTAAATTGACTTGGTGAAACGTTTGGTGCAGTGTCGGATTAAAAAAACAGGATAAAGAAAAAGAAAAAAAAACCCATAATATATAACAAAAAAAATCATATTATTTGCTTCAACTTAAATTTCAACCAAAATCAAAATTTTCAACATCCCATTCCTAAATCCAAAACCAAAGTGGCATAAACCAACCAAAATTAACTAATATATGCATTGAAATGCTAAATTTCAAAATTCCTAGTTCAACAATCTTTCCTAATTTAGAAATTTACAAACACAAACAAAAACCACTAAGAAATTCTAGCAAAAAAAAAAAAAAACAATCGAAAATCGAAAATCGGAAAAAAAATTGGAAGAGGACCCAAGTGAGATTTTACCAACTAAGTAAATCCGTCCTCCTCGCTCATCGTTTTCCCAGCTGGCAAATTGGTGATGTTGAATAGCTTCTTCCTCATTATGCCACCCAAAGACAATCTCTTGGCCATTCTCTCACTTCCCATATTGTTCGAAACCCTATTTAAACTTCAAGATTCACAATTGGGCATTCAAGAAATGCAATTCCAACATTAAAAATAGTGATCTTTTGGGGGAAAACACTTCGAGTGCAGAGAAGAGAACCCATAATTCAAATTGGAAAATTTAAATGAACAAGTGACTTCGGAGATGACGAGATCGTCAGAGATGAAGCTTGTGCCGTCAAAAATTGAGGTCGAGGAGGACGGAGCCAAATGGAGGGCGAGATCAATGAGCTTGGTTTGATCGATGAATTGGACGACGGAGCTCATGGTTATTCGATTGAGGTTTGAGTCTGAGGGCTCTTCACGATTCTGAGTTTGGGGCGATGAGAGAAAGAGAGGACAGCTGCAGAAAGCAGGGAGAGGAAGAGAGCAATGAGGAGGAGAGAACTAGGATGAAGCGGTCTTAGCTAGTCCATGCTTATCGGGGGCTCTCGCTAAGTCCAGTTAGTGAGGTCTTTAGACGAGGCTAGTCCTTCCTAGTCTCATTAAACTTAATTCCACAAGGTAACAAACACAGGTTTCACTAATATTTAAGTCAGTCCAAACTAGTGAATGTTAGTGAGGGCAAACAAATGTCCCCTATGAGTTCTATCATCAACCGGGTATGTGATGTTTGATTTTTTGAATGGTTAGATTGGCTGGAATAGGATTATAATGGCGGTTGAATATTAAATTTTTTCAACCATTTATGTTATGACACTTGGTATATCGGTTTACATTCTTGGCCCATTGAAAAACTTCTCATTAGATTGAAATTTTTAGCTTAAAACACGCAAATGCAACCATTAGCTGAAGCTAAGCATTGCATTCCTCTCTAGAGTATTTTTAGTGATAGGTATGTTATGTAAGTAGGAGAGTAATTTGCATGGAATGAGTTCATCGGTACATGATTTTTTAGTTTAATAATACAATGCCAGAAAGAAACTTATACATAATATTATATTATTGGACCGTAGGGTGGTCAATCTGTTCCATATACGCTGGAATTAGGGCGACTAAATCTACAATGACTCAAAGAGCCTGACACAGTAGCAACCGCCCCACAACCCCGCCATTACAATTGTTGCCCAAGGGAGGCTGTATAATTCATTGCTTTTGTCCATGCTGTCGTACAACAGATCATGGCTTCTTTCAACCACAGCATTTAACAATGTGGCTTTTATGAGTTAAATTAGAGTAACGTATAACTTGGGCTGGGTTTAGTTTCTCTTTGAATATGAATACAAGCTTATGGTAAGGGCCCAGGAGTAGATCGGTGGCACATGGTCAACTCTACTAAACACTATTGTATCAGTTCTTGTCTTGATCATAAATTTATGAAATTCCCCAACTCATTTTGAGTTAACAGGTTTCAATATGTTGAGTTTGGTGAATGTTGAGAAGTTGAATGGCAATAACTTCAAAGCATGGAAGTAGCAGATTGAGATGAATTTTGGAATGTTGGAATTCAACATAGTATTCAAGGTTCACTCAGCCTTCAACATTAACTGATGAGAGAATTGCACAAGAAAGAGAGAATTTTGTGAAATGGGATATAGAGCCAATCAAATGTCTCTACTCATAATGCAAAATTCAACGGAGGAACACAAAAGAGGAGAAATTCCTAGTTGTGACTTGGCTAAGACTTATATGGACAAGAATCAAGATTGAAGAGAATTTTAAGTGATCAAATAACGTTGAAACTGGAGCATGCTTGTCAGCATTAATAAACACCAAGTATGATGGTTCTAGTAGCATTCGTGAGCACTTATTGAAGTTAGTTAACATTGCCAACAAGTTGAATACCTTAGGTCATCTCTAATCGAGGGCTGGCCAGATGGCTCGTTTTAGCCCTCTGGCCCTCCAAGATTCCCCAAGATATTAATATTTTAATGAACAGTACATGGTCATATTTGCATTCGTCTCCAACCGAGGGCCAGAGGGCCAGAGGGCTCGTTTTAGCCCTGTCACAAAAAACCGTCTCCAACCTATGGCCAAACATAATTTATTATTTAAAAACTACAACTAAAATGTTGTTTAAGTTTCATGTTGTATAATTTTTATGTTGGTTAATGTTATTTAATGTTGTTTCATATTGTTTAATGTTGTTTCATGTTACTTAATTTAATTTAATGTTGTATAATGGCTTAGGAAGTTATAGGAAAAAAAATAGAATTTAAAAAAAATATGAAACAAATTTTGTGAAATAGAAGTTATAGGAAAAAAATGGAATTTAAAAAAAAATATGAAACAAATTTTGTGAAATAGAAATTATAGGAAAAAAATGGAATTTAAAAAAAATATGAACCAAATTTTGTGAAATAGAAGTTATATGAAAATTTTTGTAAATAAAAAAAAAAATAATGTAAAAAAAAAAAATTCAAATCAAATGCAACGGCTAGTAGCCGTTTCATTTGAATTTTTTTTTTAAAAACTCATGTCGGTTATAATCGACATGAATACATGCCATTATTTAGTATATTAAATAATAGCATGTATTCCTGTCGGTTATAACCGACAAGAATAACAAAACTATAAAAAAAAAAAATAGCTAGCTCGGGGCTGGCTGGCTGGCCAAAAGTAGCCAGCCCTTTGGCCCTTTGAAATTCTGTGGGGCCCTCCAGATTCCTGAGCCCTCTAGCCTAGCCCTCGGTTGGAGACGATTTTAGGGCTATTTTCGGCCCTCTGGCCCTCTGGACCCTTCGGTTGGAGATGGCCTTAGATATTGGCATTTTTGATCAGTTTCTTGTGCATATGAAACTTTACTCATTGTCGAGTGGTTATGAGCAATTGAAAGCGAGCTATAATCATAGTTCTAAAAGACGTTAGGTGCTAGTCGGACGGTGAGTTGGGGCCTAGCGCTTGGGCAGATTTAGAAACTATGTTTTACCCCTTAGGTTTCGAGTCAATTACAACCTTATACAATATGTTTAAAACATTTTAATTTCATACATTAACTTTTATTTCATTTCAATTTCCTACAACCATTTATGAATCGTTGAATAAATCATTAAATGATGATGTGTCAAGTGTAGAGCCCATATTTTGCTGATTTAGAATTCAAATATTTGCCACTTGGGTAACAAAATAAAAAAAGGAGAACGGAGTGCAGTCCCAATCGCCGTCGCGGCATTGCAATCGACCCAATCGCCCAAGAGGAGAAAGAGATGCTGAAAAAGGAGATCGGAGAGCATGGCGATCCGATTGCCGACCATCACCACGATCGCTGCTTTCACTGGAGAAACAGCTGACATGGTTCAAATTAAAATAGAAAAGAAAAGAAGGAAATTGAAGATGGAAAATGGAGAGAACTCTGATACGGGTTTTAAGATTGAACAACGTCTGAAGAAGCCCATAATTTAATTTCCATTTTTGACGCAGGAATTTCAAGAATGTTGGTGAATCCGAATCTGAGAAATGGAAAGCTTTTTGTTGGTATTTGGTTTTGCCAAAAAGATATAAATTAATAAAAAAAGGAAGTAAGGGTCTTGGATCCTTATAACAAGGAAGAAAATGAGTCGTTAGGAGAAATCAAACCCATGGAAGGTGGGACGGCTCTGGAGATTTTGGAGACATTGAAGAAGGTGGGAAGGCTTGGAAATTTTGAACACCCAGAAAAGAGAAAACCCAGATTTGAGAAGTAAACAAATTCAGCCGCATCCGATTTGGCGAAAGCGTTTCCTGGGATCTTGACTTTGCCGAGAAAAGTGCTGCGCTTGGCGGCCTTCTTGTCATTGTATATGTTGAAGTCGGAGATCTGGGGCCGTGGAGTCATTGTCGTGGATGAGAAATTCGAGCTTCTCCGTTCTCTTTTTTCAAATCAGCAAAATATGGACTCCACACGAATTTTAACAAATTATACATTTTTGGGGCTTTTGGTTATGAGAAAGATTGAAGCCTTGAATGTTTTAATTAATACAATGAGTCATGGTGCACGAAGTCTAATTCCTTATTTTAACAGCTTGTTCGAGCCATCCAAAGGAGTCATGGTGCCGAAAATTTCATTTTCTGATTTGAAGTTTCTGGATGATGAGAGGGATTAGGACTGAGAGAGGTCTTATGACGGATCTGAGAGGTTGAGTCGAGAAGGGTTGTCGGGAGGAGGAGGTGT